GCTCGTTCACCCAGAGCATCCGGAGCTCTGTACCGTGGAGCCTAGCAACCTCCACGAGACCGTCTGTGTTGTCTGTCTGTAACCGCAACTCAAGCAAGTTTTCCAGCCTGCACCATTGCCATCTTGGTGTAAGTAAACAATCTTTAAAACTACCGATACGCGTTTGTGCCTAATTCCAGCTCGACAGCCTTCCCTCTCCAACCCGGCGTGCCCGGGCTGCTGGCCACAGCCCGTGTGCAGCGCGGAAAAGGGCTCGGGTCGCTCCCGGCCCGCACACCTAGGAAATTGTTAAGAAGGCAGGGTAGATTTGCACCCTATAGACTAGCTGTATTTATATTATCTTCCTAGGCAATCCCCTCGCAGTTGAGAATGGTTGTCTTCCATGATTGTCTTATCTGTGCACCTGAAGATGGCTGACGGGGCTGATCTGGGATCAACAAACTCTGCTGCAAATCAGACATGTTTCCATGCAGGGTGGTGGTGCCATATTCTTGGTTTGGTCCATGACACACTGTTTCTGCTGCTCCCACTTTTCCATCTCCTGTTGCCATTGTGAGGTTTTAAAATATTAAGTTCCTTGTAGCAGACTCTTCCTCCATTTGGGGCAGTCCTGCATAATAGTCTTCCATGAGTTGATGTCAACATTGCATTTTTTCAAGCTGGCCTTGAGGATGTTCTTGAAGTGTTTTCTTTGCCCTCCTCTTGACTGAGCTGGGAGAATAAAGCTTACTTTGGGAGTCTGGAATCAGACATCTAGATGACATGGTGTGGAAGGAGAGATCCTGGAAGTAGAAGGAAGCCTGAGATTGATCTGGCTCTCCCACTTACCTCAGGCAGAGCCTGGGATGCTGCCAGGGACCAGAGCATTGTGCCGCACTTCAAGACCCAGCGCTCAATCCAGGTTGGCGGCGGCAGTGCCCAGAGAGGTACTTCCAGCCCCAGAGAAGGCAGCTGAGGGAAGACTGCATCGTCACAGTGGAGAAGATGCCGGAGCACTCTCCTGCTTGCATCTGTTGGTAGCAAACATTGGGTGAAGTGCACAAGTGGTGAGCACAGGCAATCAGAGGATCACCAATTACCTCAGGCACCAGGGTGCAGGACATCAGTGGACTGACTGAAGCTAGGCACTCAGACTGAAGAGGAACTGGGTAAGAGGGGTGTGGGAGCCTGAATCCATGGTGAGCTGGGCCCAGGGGAAAGGCTTTGCCAGTTTTTTATTTGGTTTTTCTTTGTGATTGTTGGAAGACTGAGAGTAAATTGATAGGGGAGCGGCCCCTTAGTATGGAGCCAGACTTGGTAGCCAACATTGGCTTCCAGAGGGTAGAATGAATTGATAGAAGCATTGCTTGAGTACTTTGGAGTTGTTTCTTTTTGGTTCTGAATTCATTTTTGAGTGCCCCCCCCCCCCCATGGGACTATTAAAGAAAACAGTTTATCAGGGGAAAATTGACCCCAAAGATAACACAGGGCCCATGAATTAATGTTGGGTTGTGTGGGGACTATTAAAAAGGAATTGATTTGAATACACAGAAGCCTCCTGTCAGTGTACCCCACAACAGAGGAAGAGTCTTTGCTGATCTACAAGTCAAGAATCTTCAGCCTCACTAAAGGGCTTTGTCATGCCTAACAGTAAGACCAGATGTAAATTCTGGGCGGCCCAGATAAACCTACCATCAGTAGCCCAAGGGGCCTGCTTATGAGATCAAAATGTCTACTAACATTGGGGAGTGGTAAGGGTGGGGTGTAGGGGAGGAGCCCCATGAAGAAATTCCTCCAACAGGCATTGAGGTATCACCCAGTGGATCTAGCTCCCCAGTAGAAGTGAGATCAAAATCATGGCAGGTGAGAAAACAATATCAGAGCACAGCTGGTGGGTAGGATAGCCTTTCCATATCCTGGTGTCCTTTTGCAGGGAAGACACCAGGTCAGATGGGGTCAAGGCCTTACAGCACCTACCCCTGACACGGGGCTAGCCCAATGAAGTTGATATTGGATAATCATCACCTCAGTACTCATGTTGGTACATCTGTCTTCCCACTAGATTTGAAGGTTCTTCTGCAGGTGGTGCTGATGGTACTTCTCCAACAACTTGAGGTATCTCCTGTACGTTGTCCACAACTCAGTTCTGTACAGTAAGGTGGGGATCACAACTGCTTGATAAACCATGAGCTTGGTTTCTGATCTGATATCACGATCTTTGAACACCCATTTCCTCAGGCATCTGAAGGCAGCACTTGCATACTTGAGGTGATGTTGGATTTCTTCATCCATATCCGATTTCTTTGTTGATATCGGGCTTCTGTGAGAGAAGGCTTTTGAAGTATGGGAAATGCTCAGTGTTCTCCAGAGTCTCACCATGAATCTAAATGACTAGAGCTCAAGACTGCTCATGAACAGCTTGTTGATGGAGGACCTTCATCTTCTGAATGTTAAGCATCAGTCCCATTTTCTTGTATGCCTCAGTAAAGACATTGATGATTGCTTGAAGGTCTGCTTCTGAGTGAGCACACACTATAGAATCATCAACATACTGGAGCTCAATGACTAAGGTCCGGTGGTCTTGGTTTTGGCTTGGAGTTAGCCATGGGCGACGGGTGTCCTGAGTCAGGGTGGGCACTTCCCCCCAGCGGACAGTCAGTGACTGGGGGGCAGTCCCTCCATGGCTGATCCTGCCAACCAGGGGGAAGTCCTCCTGTGGCCAATCCCACCAACCTGCAAGTGACAGCGGTGTGCCACTAGCACTTCCTGGTGCCCCCACTCCCTGGCCAGCGCTCTCAAGGGGGGCACCACTGCTCTTTCCTGCCCTACCTGCCTGGGAACACTTGCCCTCCCTGCCCAGGAACACTGGCTGACAGGGGGTGCACCAGAGCTCTCAGGGGGTGCACGTGCACCCCCTATGCATTGCCACTGGAGTTAGCTGAGGTTAAATAGCTTACCATCCATTTGATAGCTTAGCTCCACTCCAACTGGAAGCTTGTTGGTGTTCAGATGTAGCATCACGGTAAGGAATATTGAGAAGAGTCCTGGAGTGATGATGCAGGCTTGCTTAACTCCCATCTTAACTTCAAAGGGATCTGTGAAAGATCTGTTATTATTGTATAACATATACAGTCATACACCATCATGGAGCAGGCAAAGAATGGTGATGAATTATGTATATAATATCATTTAGTTGTATATATATTATAATCTTTCATAAGCTGGAGCTCACTTCATCAGATGCTGTAAAAAGATGTGCTCAGAGCTGTACATTACCAAGGAGCTTCTGATGTCCAGAGATTCATGGCGGTATGAAACCAGCCAGCCAGCCTCTTCTTTGTGCTTGTAAGTGAAATATCCATTGGGATATTTAGAGAAAATGACATCATAAACTTGGTGGACATTTCAGCAGAACTTGTCTACTTCCCAAAGATATTTTTTAGGAGGCAAATAAGGCCCAGAGAGATTATGTTAGGTCAAAACTAGCTTACTTTAGCAGCACTTCTATAGAAAAAATAAGAATGTGTGAAAAAAGCACTTTTCAAAATACTCTGCTAGGCTGTTCAATGAAGTCCTGTTAGCGTTTGTTTAGTTTCAAGTCCTCTACAGAAATATGCAGGTGTACTACCTTGAAACGGTCAGCTTGGCAGCTGCCTCTGTATGGCTCTAGATGTGCTGATACGCTCATTTCAGTAGCTGTTAATGTCCACAAATTTGGAATGAAAGGCAATAATTTTAGTTAGAGCTTCTTTCTGGGACAATACCACAGTGTCACAGCTATACTTGCATATGATATACAGATGAAAGCCTAATGTATTCAGTATGAAGTGTGCATACTTTAATTATAAAATAATATCTACAACTGACATTTTATTTCCTATTTCCTTTGAGGATGAAAGAGAGGATTTAAGTGATTTTACAGTGAACTGTTATTCAACTACTGTAAGATAAAAGAACCCTGAAATCTGTTAGATAATCTTTAACTTGGTATAATCCAAATTTCACCTATTGTTACTAGTGTGATTTAATATGAAGGCTCTACATTTTGTTTTTTGGTTGTTTTTTTTTAAAAATGGCTCTCATAAGAGAGGCACTTTTCAAACTTTAAATACACCGATATTTATTTTCAGTCCCTCAGGTTAATTCCTAAGCTTGTTCTTTGTACTGCTCCCCCTCCCCCCCACATTTGAAATTCAAATGTGTTCCTAGTAAGAATACCGCTTTGTAACAGCTATTAAACTGTAAGGCTGAGAAATCCCTGTTTGCTATCAGCTGGAGATTTTCCTACAGGCCTTCAGATATGGTGCTGCTCCCTTCTCAGAGGCTGATAAAGTTCCTTTGTTTAGTACCTAGATGCAGGCCACACTTTTTAAATAAGGAATGAGCTCTGCTGAGCAGAGCACAAAGGCATCCCACTGGAAAAAGTGTCAAGTTCATGTTACTGCCTCTGTGTGCTGGGGGTCCCTCTGGGGCATAAAAACTAAATACCTCTGGATGCAACATGGAGAAATTGCCTTGCTCAGTTTAACCAAGGGGGGGAGGGAGAGAAAGCGGGTAGAAGAAAGCCAGATAGGAAAAGCAGCTGAGAGAATGAACCTGCTGCAGCCTCAAAAGCAAAGCCAGTGTCTTACCACTCCTCTACCCACATTGCTTCTGAATAATGCATGGGTGTAATGGGGAGTAAAGTTCTTGCAGCTCTAGGATGCTGAAGGAGGAGGCTCCAGTGGTGTTGGCTAGGTAGGGGCTGCAATGCTGCTCTGGCCTCCAATACCAGGGGCTCTGAGCGCCATCAGTTACCTGTGAATACCAGTCTCTTCCCCGAAAACGCTGCTTGCTGGGAGGGAGTGTGGGTCTTCAAAGGCATGGTGCAAACCCTTGCCTTGGCCCCTGGTTATCCAGAGAGGCTCACTCCCATGGATGCGGGGATCTGTCTCCAGCTGACAGATCAAGAGCCAAGCCCTGGCTGGCTGCTGGGGACGCCGCTTGCTCCTCCCTGCTGCATTGTGACTTCAAGCCCCTGGGAATGTGCAAGTTCAAGGGTTCCACCGGCCTGACGCATTCCCTGGGGGTCTGAACTGGGGCGGGGGGTTGGCTCTCCACCTTGATGGGTGTCCAGCTTTCTGGGTAGTGGCGGTGGGTGAATGTTTAAGGTTGACTTTTTCCAAGGCAGCATGCACTGATCAGCACAGATCTCTGGCCTGGTGGGGTGATCTGCCTGAGGATCTGCCAGTCTTTCTCTCAAACCTTTCTTCTAGCATTCATTTTGACTGTTTTTTACTGTTCAGGAGAGACATTTAAATCCAGAGCTATGGTAAGCACTAATAATTTTGCTGACCATTACTGTTTCATTGTTTTCTTGGATAGCCCCTTCTGTCTGCATTCATCTCTTGTCTTACACCTAGATTGTAAACCCTGGTGGAGTTTACTTTCTGTGATTATGCAGCATATGCTACAGTGGAGTTGGGTCTGTAACTAGGATTCCTCAGCACTACAGTAATACAGTTAATACTACAGTAATTATATTCAAAGATGATGCATCATGACTTCAGTCTATCCACTATAAATTTACAGTTTTAGCATGATACTTGCCAACATATTTGCAGACCAGATATGTGGTGAGTTTGTAAGTTTATACCAGTAATCGGACCAGGGTTTAATAAACTGAAAGCTGAAAAAAGAAACCACAAAAGAAAGCACTATATATATATATATATATATATATATATATATATATACTGTGGTTAGTCTCTGAGGTGCAAATTTACCCTGCCTTCTACTTGACTTCAGACTAACACAACTAATTATGTCTCTCATTTCCATACATACCTTTCTGTTTTTGACTTCACACTAACAAAACAAGGCAAGCTAAGGTGTTCAGTTTAATTCCAGTTTCCACTTGCTTGTCTAATGAATGCAGAATTTATTTTATCTTTTGCCAATTGATCATTCTTTTTTGCTTTCTTAGACACCTTTTATAGGGAAGTAGTTAGTCATGTTAACCTGAAGTTAAGCAGAAGGCAGGGCAGTGTGGTGCCTTATAGACTTAACTTGTTCAGAGAGGCATGAGCTTTCATAGGCTATAGCCTACTTAATCAGGTGCTTCATAGCCTACATTTACAGATACTTTCAACTCAAGATGGCTGATGCTCCAAATCCAGGGTAACTGGATTGAAAAGAACCAGGGAGTGGAGTGGAGTGGAGTTATATGTGCATGTGATGTTTTTACTTTGCTTGGTAACCCTGCGTTTTACTTGGTCTGGTTTGCAGTTTGGATACAACTTAAAAACTTCTAGTTTAGTACACAGGAAGAGGAAAACCAAGCACATGAGGATGCAGCTGCAGATAAAGAAATATCTTTAGGCGGATGGACAGCAATATGAGTACTAAAGTACTAATACTGATGAGTAGGGGCCTACCTCACTTGCAGCAAGAGAAAGCAATTTTTGTGGCTTGGTCAAGGTGCAAAGAGCCAATTTCAGAGTAATTTTGTGGCAGCCTTGCCTCTCAGCACTAATTGGCAGAGAGGCCCCATCCCTTAGCACTGATTGGTGGAGAAGTGCTGGGTAAAGCAGAGATGAGAGGCAACTGCCATCTTGATTGCTGGCTGCCCTCAGTGTTGATCGGTGGAGAGGCACGAGGGACCAGCTGCCATCTTGATCGCTGCTCTTCGTGTCACCCCACTAGCCAGCACAATTTCTCTTGGACAGGCTGTGAGGCTGGGCTGCAGTGGCAGCAAGGACTCCTGGCTCCCACTAGAGAGCCAGCATTTTGTTTTTATTACGGTCTTTTTTTTTTTTGTGGTTGATTTCCTGGGAAATCGTGGTTAATACCATTTTTCATGGTTATTTCAGAAACTGCCATTTTTGCGAAACTGCAATTTAAGTAGGTCCCTAGTGATGAGAGCTATAGTTGGGGAAGTGATGCAGTTAGGAAAGGGACAGTGCCAAATCTCATTGGGGAACTGAATATGGCCAGCAGGGATCAGCTAATATGGCCAGAAGGAATCAGCTAAAAGTTTTTACAAGAATGTAAAAAAAAAAGGAACAAAATGGACGAACTAGCAATACAGTATATTATAGAGGTACAAGAAGTATCATGGAATACAATTGTGACTAGAACACAGGTGCTGGAGAGTATGCAGTGTTCAGGAAAGAGAAATAACGGGAAAGTGTAAGGAGGAGAAGAAGACAGTGCTGATATTGCCCAAGAGCTGACAGGAGCCGGTGAAGGAAAGGAGAGCTCCTCGGGAGTTGTGTTTCCAGAGCTGCTGCTCCATAAAGCTAGAGCAGCCCTGGAAAGAGGGAGAGACAGAGAACGACCCAGGTAAAGATAAGGAGAGTGATGCTGCACATTGAGGAACCCAGGAAGACAGGTGGGAGGGCTGTGGCTGTGGTGAGCCAGCAGCCAGCTGGCTGAGGGACTCAGAAGAATTATTCTAAGCTGGGAGACACGGGCTGAAGAAGCGTCGCAGGGAACATGGTGCCGGAGCTGGGACAACTTCAAAGAGAGTGAGAGCTAGTCAGGAGAATTTGGTTGAGCCCCTTTGGAAACAAGTAAGTTGTCTAGTGGTGTTTAAAATTCAACCCTCCCGATAGAAACCCTTTTACATCAAGATGTGGCAGGCAAGAGTTGGGATCACTACTGAGATAACCCCATAATTGATTTTTTTGTTACTTAAGACCTAATCTTGAAGGCTGTGGCTAACTATACCTTCCAAAAATTAGTCTGACAACCTCACAGAAAGGTGGTGAGATAGTAGTGTACTTTAATGATGTGATAGTAAAGAAATAAGAAGAAATAAAACCAATTCTTTTGAGTCAGAGTCTTTTGAATCAATTAAGGGAAAGATAGCAACAAAGATTCCTCTGGAGTATTGAATGGAGTCTTCTATAGACCTCCAGGGTTGATTATGAATAGAGACAGAGATTTCTGCCTCTGATCTCTGTTATGAGACAGATAAATGCTACCATGAAATGTGTTATTATGGATGACATTAACTTCCAAGATGCAGATCAGAGAACAAATGCTGCAAAAATTGGTAGAGCATGCTTTTTCTGGCATTGATAGCTGACAGATTGCTTAACCAAATACTTGATAAATCAAAAAGTAGTGATCCTCTTTTAGATTTGGTTTTAAAAGTAGTGAGGGCATTAGCAAAGAGCTGGTTGTAGAAAATAATCTGGAATGTAAGGATCATGTTTAGATTCAATTTAAATCAAATGGAAGAATAAACTAAAGTATGCCTGCAGCTGAAGTTACTGATTCTAAAAAAGGCAAACTGAGAAATTAAGGGAACTAGTAAGTCAAGTCAACTGGACTGAGCAGCTCAAGGGCTTGAATGTGAGAAAGACTTGGAATTTCTTAAATGAAAAGTTGTAAAAGCATTTTGAATTGGTATCTCAAGCAAGGGAAACAACATATAGGGAAGGGATTCATAGCCACCTGGATGAACAACCACCTCAAAAATGATATCAGGCATAAGCAGGGAGCATACAAGGAATGGAAAAAAAGTTTGATCTGCAAAGAAAGTTAAATATCAGAGAAGAGATAAGGAAGAATACAGATAAAGTGAGAAATGACAAAAGTCAATATAAGTAAGACTTTGCATGGAAAATTAAATAACAAAAGATTTCATAGTTTCATAGTAGCTAGGGTCAGGAGGGACCTGAACAGATCATCTAGCCTGACCCCCTGCCGCAGGCAGGAATGAATGCTGGGGGCACAAGACCCTAGACAGGTGATCGTCCAACCTCCTCTTGAATTCGCCCAAGGTAGGGGCAAGGACCACCTCCCTGGGAAGTTGGTTCCAGATTTTGGCCATCCTAACTGTAAAATATTGCCTTCTGATCTCCAACCTAAACCTATTCACCATCAGCTTATGACCATTGTTCCTCGTCACCCCAGGTGGTGCTGGGGAGAAAAGAGCTCTGCCTATTTGCTGTTGATCCCCCCCTGTTCTTCAGCCATATAAATAAAAAGAGAACAAGGAAAGAAATAGGGTGTATATGACATGAGGCTAGGCCAATCTTTAAGAATAATCCATGTATGGATCAAAAAATAAATGAATACTTTGCTTCATTTTTCAATAAGGGTGATGATGTTGGCCGTGGGGGTTAAGACAGGAGCTTAAAAAAAATCAGGGTATGAAAACAGAAATCACTACATCCTGTGCAGGCCGGGAGCGCCCCAAGCCCTTTTTCGCGCTGCATGCGGGCTGTGGCCAGCAGCCCGGGCATGCGGGGGCAGAGAGGGAAGGCCTTCGCTCTGGAATTAGGCACGGACGCGTATCGGTAGTTTAAAAGATTGTTTACTTACACCGAGATGGCAATGGTGTAGGCTGGAAAGCTTGATTAAGTTGCAGTTACAGACAGACACAACACAGACGGTCTCGTGGAGGTTGCTAGGCTCCACGGTGCAGAGCTCCGGATGCTCTGGGTGAACAGGCCACCAATGTAGAAATCGTAAATATGTCTTATATTAGTCGCGCTTGAAGATGGGAAGAGGTGGGCGGTGGATCAGGCCGCCACGCTCCTCTGGATCTCACACAGGGTCTCTATTACCCTGCCGTGTACCCAGAGTCCCCACAAGATGGATGTG